GTGGCAGCTGTGTTAGCAGAAGTGTCAACACGGCAAGAGCACATTGGGGTGAGGCGGGAAGGGGGCGGGGGGGACGGGGGGCAGGATATGCCCTGCCCCAGACCCATGAACGTCAAAAAGGATGGAATTACCATGACTAGGTTAATCAAATCATTTGGGGTGTTGGGGAGTCAGCCCCAGTGTTCATGACAAAGAACTAATGTTAAAAGCTATCCATACAGCAATGAAAACCAGGCTGGACCCAGATTTCTCTGCTGCAGTATTGTCCTAAGACAACGACATGTCGTCTACAGATTTTTAAAGGAAAAGTTTGGACAGAGGATTCTAACCTCAGACAGGATGGCTTTTCTTTTGATGGTGAAAGAAAGACACCTGCAGCTATCAAGACATAAGACAAGGCTTCCTAATGCATTTTTTAAAAAATAAAAAGCATCCTTCTATTTTTTTATTCAACAAATATTTATTGAGTGATAGGCAGTAGGAGTGGATAATGAAAAAGCAGGACCCTGCCCTCATGGAGCTTACATTCTAAAGGGAAGACACCGTAAGCAGTGAACATAATAAATGGACCAATGAAGTGATGAGGCCTCAAGAGAGAAGCAGCTGCAGTTTTAGGTGTGGCACTGGGGGGGGGTGAACTTTGAGTCAAGAATTGAGAGAGGTGGGGCATGGGCTGTGCGGATGTCTGGGGTTGGAGCAGCCTGTCTGTGGCCCTGTGGCTGGAGCGGGCCTGACCTGTGTGTAGACAACACGTTTCATGATCTGACCCTGCTTTCCTCTCCGATCTCTGGTCTCTACTCTCATGAGCCAGCCAACAGGTGTTGGTCCTTCTCACCTTCCACGTTTGGTAAATGTGTTCACCTAGAGCACTCCTGCCCCCAGAACTCTCCATAACCTTTTGTCGCTCCTACTCTGTAGCTAGATCTTAGCTTGAATGTCACTTTTTCCAGAAGTCTTTCCCTGAGCAACTCACCACCCCATTGCAAGCCCGGGTCTGAGTTAGGTGCCATTTCTAGCACCTCTGCAGGGCTGTGGCACTCACTGCATATTATTATTAGTGTTTGGACTGTGTTGTTGGGACTATAAAGTCCCATGAAGGCAGGGCTTGCCGTTGTATCACACAGACCTACACACTCCTAGCTTCTAGTAGGAGCTTGGTAAATATCTGTGGAATGAATGGCTTAACGGACAGGTGGTAAGCATACAACCCAGTGAAAAGAGAGACAAATAATTGTAAGGCACGTTGTAAAACTAATGAAAATACCAAAATTATTTCCAAAGGAGATGTAAATAGGAGATATCTCCTGTCCAGATAGAGGGACACACAGACCAGGCTCCTGCCCCCTGCCTTGCTGGGTTTGGCCAGTGCCATCTCTCAACTGCAGGAGGGAGGGGAGGAAAGTGAAGTCAGAGGATGTATTCACTGGGCCTGCTGTCTGCTGCAGGCTGGCTGTGTGTTCCCCACCAGGGATCACTGCCCCAGGAGGACAGCCCACCCCCTCTCCACCCTCTGGCTCAGGAATGGAATAGTGCTGCTACCAGCTCGCTCCACTTTCATGTGCTATCCCTGGCAGTTCCCCTGCACTCACACTGAGCTCAACAGCCCCTGTATCAGTGCACCTTCCTGAAATCATCCTATATCAGACATGCCTTCTGTTTCCCGCTGGAACCCTCACTGATACCTGTGCAACGCTAAATGTCTGTAAAGTGAAGATCGTTTCCCAGGAAAATATAGACTCACAAAATTGATTCAAGAAGAAATGAAAACAAAATATGCTGGTAACCAGGAAAGAAATAGAAAATATCAAATTATTACCTGCAATTAAATGGCAGGCTTAGATAATATCAAGTGCAAGATCAATCATGTCTTCTTAATTCAATAATTACCTACTTTTTAAAATCAGGGTATTAAAAAAGATAGAAATTTTCTCAGGTACTTTTATTAAGTTAACATATTAAAACCTGACAAAAATAGCTCAAAAAACTAAAACTGTTAACCAAATTTAGTTATTAAAAGAGATGCAAAAATCTTAGTAAATTAAATCTTCCATTATAATTAGAAGAATAGCAAATAAAGTCTGTTTTATGAAGGCAAAAGTGAGTCAATATTGGAAAATCTTTTTATATCAACTTGCTTTAAAAAAAAAAAAAAAGGCAAAAAATAAAGTTAAATCCTGAAAGTTGTAGTAACCTAGGAATGGAAAGCTATTTCCTTAACTTAGAACAGAGTATCAATCTGAAACTAATATCCAAGATTATATTTATGATGAAACATTACAGACAATCCTATTAAAATTAAGAATAAGATAATGATGCCTGCTATCAATTTTGTTTAACATTGAACTTGAAGCTCTAGCCAATGTAATTAGACAAGAAAATTAAATAAGAAATATGAATAGTGAGGAGAAAATACCATTATTTGCAAAAATGATTGTCTCCGTGAAACATAACCTTCATAAATAAGGTGTATTTACAAATCAATGAAAAGACGGAACACACTATAGAAAAAATGAGCAGAAGACATAATGTAACAATTCAGAAAAGAAGAAAGACAAATGGTCAACCAAAACAAGTATAAACATTCCATCTTGTACCTATCAAATTTAAATAATGAATGCGATGATTTGGGCAGGGAGAAAGAGGCACTCTCATACTCAATTCTTTAAGAAGTGTAACATTTTACACACTCACAATTTGACAATATCCTTTAAAAGTTTGAAAATGTACCTATACTTTGACCCTGCACTTCTCCTTCCAGGAATTCAGTGTAGGAAGGGGGCAGAATTATTACCTAAGAATGGTTTGGGACAGCAAGAGATAGACTTATGTTCAAGATTGTTCATTGTTTATCATTTCCACTTAGGGTAGTTAATTTCACTGAATACATGATGATCCATTCATAAAATAATATTATATGGCCACTAAAATGATGCTCACTTATCATTTTTGTTCACAGTCAATTTTGAGTAGACAAAAATCAAGTTTCAAAATAATATACAAAGTATTAGCCCATTTTTAGATATATTAATGTTTTGTCTAAATGCATAAAAAGTGAGTATACACAATATAGGGTTTATTCTGAACAAAAGACCTATGAACTTTTGTTTCTCTTTTTTTAATATATTTTATTGATTTTTTACAGAGAGGAAGGGAAAGAGAGAGTTAGAAACATTGATGAGAGAGAGAAATATCGATCAGTTGCCTCCTGCACACCTCCCACTGAGGATGTGCCTGCACCAAAGTACATGCCCTTGACCGGAATCGAACCTGGGACCCTTCAGTCCGCAGGCCGACACTCTATCCCAGTGATGGCGAACCTATCACACGCGTGTCAGAGGTGACACGCGAACTCATTTTTTGGGTTGATTTTTCTTTGTTAAATGGCATTTAAATATATAAAATAAATATCAAAAATATAAGTCTTTGTTTTACTATGGTTGCAAATATCAAAAAATTTCTATATGTGACACAGCACCAGAGTTAAGTTAGGGTTTTTCAAAATGCTAACACGCTGAGCTCAAAAGGTTCACCATCACTGCTCTACTCACTGAGCCAAATCAGCCAGGGCTGTTTCTCTTTTTTAAAGGAGTTTTAGATGTGAAGGAACCTGGACAGGCTGTAAGGGAGCGGCCATCCCGAGTGACTTAAATACGGTACCTTTTCCTGTTTGGCTCTGTGCTCAGGGAGCCCAGGGAGATGGTGCAGCCAGGCTTAGTTGCTGGCTCTCACTGTTGTCTGCTGTAGGTATTTGCTGCCTGGTCTTAGAAAAATTGCTTGAACTCTGTTTTTCTCAATCTGAAAAAATACAAGGAACAGTTGTATTACACTCAGTAAATATCAAGCCTCAAAAACAGAGAACTATGAGGTTCCCCGCCCCCCAAGATCAACTCTGAATGTGATGGAGCTTCCAAGTCCAGCTACTCACAGAAAGCAGCGGAGGAGCAGCGCGTTCCAGCACCCACAGGGACACACCCGCAGGACCCCGACAGTGAGAGACTCCGGGACAGATAACCCAGTTTCTTCAGCAAAGAAACAGAAAGTTCTAAAACTACATCATATCAACTAACCTCATGTGTTTAGATTCTTATTCGAACAAATTATTTTTAATATAATGGCATTGAAGAGAGCGCTGTGAATTTAAACACTGACTATATGATACTAAGAAAGTCAGTCTTGTTAATTTACCAGGTGCTATAGTGATACTGTGTAGATATTTCTTCTAAAGGGTCCTTTAGGAGACACAGTAAAATATGTGCAGGTGAAATGGCAGAATGCCCGGAATTTGCTTTAAGATAATATGAGGGAGAGGGGCTGAGGGTGGATGGGGCAGGATTCGCCATGGGATGATGCTGGGTACATAGGGGCTTATCATACTATTGGGTCCAGTTTTGTGTCCATTCAAATTTCTTCGTAACAACAACAAAAAAGTTTATTTTTTAAAAGCAAAGTGTTCCCACCTTTATGATAAAGCTGATGAAATTTAAATTTGCAAATAATAAAATAGGAGTCCTTTGACCGTGGGGACTGTGAAAAAAAGAGAAGGGCCAAGTAGAGGGGAAACTCCACAGCAAAGCAGTTCTCTTCGCCAACGTCCTGACATTAGAAAGTTGAGGTGAGAAGTTGGGATGACTGTCCCGGCCACGCGCTCCCAGCAGAACCTCATGCTGTTCCCTGAGCAGCTCTCCAGAGTACCCCCGTCCCCCCGCCCCTCCCCCGCACTTGCTCCTGAACCCCGGATGCTGAGCGCTTTGCCCAGATTTGCAGGATGGCGGGACAGGGCCCCTTGCCCAGCGCGGCCTTGTGCTTATCTGTGAACTCACTCCTGCAGCCCTTCACCTGCCCAGCTGTGCTGCCACTGTGATCGCCCCTGTTCCCAGAGGGACTGAGGACAGTGGGGTCACAGACAGTCATGGGTGTGAACACACCTCCATCTCCCTGCCCTTTCCGCACTTGGACCCCAAGCCCAGTCAACCTGAACGTGGCCTCCCCACTTCCCACAGGTGCTGCAGGCCTGCGCGCCAGCCCCGGCGGTCATCGAGGTGCTGTTCAACGCCTACCCTCAGCTCCGCGTGTCCGAGTCCTGGAGGGAGGTGATTCCGGAGGAGGTGTTTCAGGTGAGGGAGCCGCCTGCCTTCCATGTTGGGGCAGAATCGCCACCTGTTTCTGTGCGGGGCCAGGCGTTCTGCTCTCCTCTCCAGGTGGGTGTAAACCTCTGGAGAAGGAAAGCGGAAGCGACCTGGGGGTGCATCTGAGTCCCTCTGCCTTCCTGTGGGCGCTCAGCATTCACACGGCCAGGAGCTCCTGTTACAGTCAGGGTGCTGTCCTACAAGGAGCTGGAGGAGCAGTCCCACGCTGACCAGAGGGACGGCAGGGATCAAGGACCTGGTGTCCAGACCAGGGTGGGGGGCCAGCACCTGAGTCCACAGGTGTGGCTCCCGTGTATCCGCTTGTCTCATACTGACGTCCCGCCTTCCTTGCCAGGCACACCGGCCTTTCTACCAGTCTCTCTTCGCCTTGGCCGGCAGCCCGCGCCGCCTGCTGCACCTCTGCCGCTGTGCCATTCGCAGACGGTTTGGCAAACAGTGCTTCCGCCTCGTGCCTCTGTTACCCTTGCCGGCGACCCTGCAAAGCTACCTCCTTTTGGAGCCAGAGGGTGTTTTGCACTGAAAACCAGAGCATTTGGACTTGTTCTTGGTCTCCTCTTTGCTTCCGTGGTGGCTGGGTGGTGAGAGCGCCCTGGGTGGAGACCTGCGGGCCTGGTGGGACCTCCCACTGGCCGGTGCAGACCTGCCTGAGCTTCAGGCCCACCTGGGAATGCGGTAAGAGCCCTCACTGCCTCTCAGGTTGCTTGTGAGGATGGACATCGTGCATCGCATAGGACTTGTATCAGAAAGTGCCTAAGGTGTACCTGCTGCTGCGAGGTTTGTCTCCTGCCCGGAAGGGGTCAGCAGCATGCACGCTGCCCCCAAGGCTTCGGACCCACTGCCTCCTGGACAATGCCCCCTCGTCCTGAAGCCCGGCCACCTGGAAAGACTGTCCCCAAAACATGACAGATGTGCATACTGAGGGAGGACATCGGTTCCATGATAAAAGCCCCTTCCCCGGAGCCCACTGGTGCTTCCCAGCGCAGGGGGCCCAGGGCTCCCCAGAAGGACGCTGGAGGGGCTGTGAGCCAGACATGTTTACCCCATGCGGGTCTTCTGTCTGACATTCTCACCAAACCCAACCCATCCAGCTCTAGGGTGTGTGGTCCAGGAAGCCACAGGCCGATAGAGGTTGCGCTCAGCTCAGCCCAAGCATCTGTAACAGGAGAGATGTTCCGACGGTCTAGGACTGTAGTCACTTGATTTCCTGAATTCTGATGCTTTGACATCTGGGGCTCTGATGACTCTGGGGAGACTCTGCCCTCACACCCCACCCCCCCACCACCACCACCAGGGTTATCATTCCTAGGATAGTAAACAACTTGCCAGCCCAGCATGCTTTTCAAATGCAAACCCATCCAGAGCGCACACCCCAGCCCCTCCTTCACTGGGTGCTCATGCCCCAGGACACCAGCCACCCCAGGGCCAGGTACCAGGCAATCCTTCTGCCCCAGAGCCCGCTGAAGTTATTCTGAGTAGCTAACCCTAAGCCTAAGCCTAACCCGTCTATCCTGCCTCACCTGTTCTTTCTGTGGAAACCACAATAAAGGCTCTTGCCCACACCCCCACTTCTGACCAACCCTGGTGCTTCCCTGTGTGGCCCCCATGGCGAGGCCTGTTCCATCTCTGAGGAATGAGTAATAAACTATCTTGTCAATGGCAATCATTTCCTGATTGGTTGGCCTCACTTGACCTCAAGTTTGCTATTAGACACCATCCTATATAATAAAAGGCTAATATGCAAATCGACCAATCGCTATGATGCTCACTGACCACCAGGGGGCAGGCACTCAATGCAGGAGCTGTCCCCCGGTGGTCAGTGAGCTCCCATAGGGGGAGCGCCGCTCAGCCAGAAGCCCTGAGCCAGGTTCCCAGCTGGCTAGTGCAGCAGTGGTGGTGGGAGCCTCTCCCGCCTCCACAGCAGCACTAAGATGTCCAACTGATGGCTCCCAGACTGCAAGAGGGCACAGGTCGGGCTGAGGGACCCCCAAGTGCATGAATTTCGTGCACTGGGCCTCTAGTATTTTATAAGAGAGACTGCTGTGACCCTCCTCTGCAGGCAGCAGTGGCTCTGTTTTCGTCCAGTCTGAACCAATGCAAGGCACTCCTGAGCAATCTGAGAGGGGGCAGGGCACCTCGTCCCATTGTTGCAGTCTGGAAGGGGAGTTTATACCCACAAATACTGCAGGATAAGGCAAGGTGTTGTGTGCACTATGAGTGAAGCCCACTGGAGGGGAGGGTGAGCAGGGGGCAGACACTGAGATGGGCATTGTGATGGGGGTAGTCTGGCTGAGCCTTGGCTTGGCCAATGGTCAGATTTCAACACAGAGGGTCTGAAAGGGAGTGACAGGGCAGCAGAGCCCTCAGCTGACCACCCACATCTGTCCCTTGAGCCCAACAACTCACCTGCCCTAGAAAAGGCTACACAAACATGGCTGTCCTCAAGCTCCTCCCAAACAGATAGGAGTCACCACTGTATGGAAAAGTCAGGGGTGCGGGACAGTGCCAGGCAGGAGGTACAATGACATGCAACGTGTCCTCTGGAGGGGAGGGTCACTGAGAGGAGTGCAGATGGGAGAGCCTTGGTTTTCAGACCAAGGATTCTTACCTTATTGACAAGCAACGAGGACCATGGAGCAGGTGAGCAGATATGGCCACAGTGGGACTCCAGGAAGGTAGCTCTGTCCTGGAAAGGGATGCAGTGTCCTGGAGGGCGGGGAGGAGCCCGAGATGATACCTAGAGATGGGCTTCAGATCCAGGCTGCTCTGCTGAACAGGAAGAGCCATTTAACCAAAACCAGCTGTGATCACCTGGAAAATGAAGGTGTCTGTGCCTCTTGAATATGGCTGGGGTGACACCCCTCCCCCAGGGTGTCCCCACTGAGCCAGTCCAGAAAAAGAACTTGGTAAGTAGTTCCTTCTAATACTATGATTGTTTTTACTATTATTAGAAGAAAATAGCCTAATATTGGGAGAAAGACTGTAAAATATGGAAAAGCAAAGCAGTGTTATTGTTGAGGACAAATAAAAGGGCAAAACCGATAAGAACTGCAGCCACAGCCCTGAGCAGCTCTGTCCTCACTGAACTTTGCAAATCTGAATCTGAGCGAGCAACTCGCCATCCCTGCTTCAGCCACCCCATCCCATCTCTCCCACACACCTTAGGAAACAGTTTGCTTGTTTTTCTGAAATGCATTAAGTTTAAATATGTTTGGAGTCCTAGAACAAAGTAGAACTCTTTGAAAATATGTTAACATTATATTTCTGAAAATCTGATGAATAAAGACTCATATTTAGTTTTTCAGAATTGAATTGCTAGCAATTTGCTTTATTAATAAAGAAAAATTTTTAACTCAAAAATGTGTTGTTTTGATGACTGTGTCTAACTGTACTCTGCGCTGCATGTATTAGGAGGTTCTAAAATGAAGGGGACTTGCATCATTCCATCCAGATGAGAAAGAGAAAAAGGGGAGGGAGTAGGGGGAGGAGAGAAGGACAAGACTAAGAGAAGGGAGTGAGGAAGGGAGGGGAGGAGGGAAGTGGGAGGAGGGAGAGAAGGAAGGTACTTGAGATAAACCTCCAAAAGACATTCCCCTTTGAAGCTAGAATTACCCTGGCTGACTTCTTTCCCAGTGAACAAACTATACCTGGGGATTTCTCTTATTACAGGCTCTAAAAATGTTTTCTATTCTTTCACAGTATTGGAGATTGAGCCCAAAACACAGTCATGTGCCCGACTAGGAATCGCACCGAGACCTTTTGGTTCATGGGTCACCACTCAACCACTGAGCCACACCAGCTGGGCCCTTCCAACTTTTGTTGAATATCTTTGTACTACTTGTCATCTGACCACAGAGAATTCCCAAACACACAATTGAGGTTCTGCACCAACTAAGGACCTGAGGAGGTCTGCCTCCCTCCATCCTGACTGCCTCCCAGACAGGAGAAACGCCCCAGCACAGCAGGAAGGCCAGCAGTCGCCCTCTGACGCAGCACCCTGAGACGTATCACGTTTAAAATTCTTTTTTTTTTTTTTTTTTTTTTTTTTTTTTTTTTTTTTTTATTGCTTAAAGTATTACAAAGGGTATTACATATGTGTCCATTTTATCCCCCCGCCCTAGACAATCCCCTAGCCTCCCCTATCCCCCAATGTCTTATGTCCACTGGTTATGCTTCTATGCATGCATACAAGTCCTTTAGTTGATCTCTTACCCCCCTACCTCCTGCCCCGCAACCCTCCCCGGCCTTCCTGCTGCAGTTTGACAATCTGTTTGAGGCAGCTCTGCCTCTGTATCTATTATTGTTCAAAAGTTTATAATGGTCTCTATTATCCATGAATGAGTGAGATCATGTGGTATTTTTCCTTCATTGACTGGCTTATTTCACTTAGCATAATGCTCTCCAGTTCCATCCATGACGTTGCAAATGGTAAGAGTTCCTTCCTTTTTAGAGCAGCATAGTATTCCATCGTGTAGATGTACCACAGTTTTCTAATCCATTCATCTACTGATGGGCACTTAGGCTGTTTCCAGATCTTAGCTATGGTGAATTGTGCTGCTATGAACATAGGGGTGCATATATCCTTTCTGATTGGTGTTTCTGGTTTCTTGGGATATATTCCTAGAAGTGGGATCACAGGGTCAAATGGGAGTTCCATTTTCAGTTTTTTAAGGAAACTCCATACTGTCTTCCATAGTGGCTGCACCAGTCTGCATTCCCACCAGCAGTGCACAAGTGTTCCTTTTTCTCCACATCCTCTCCAGCACTTGTCGTTTGCTGATTTGTTGATGATAGCCAGTCTGACAGGTGTGAGATGGTACCTCATTGTTGTTTTGATTTGCATCTCTCGGATGATTAGTGACTTTGAGCATGTTTTCATATGTCTCTTGACTTTCTGAATGTCCTCTTTTGAAAGGTGTCTATTTAGGTCCTTTGCCCATTTTTTGATTGGATTGTTTATCTTCCTTTTGTTAAGTTGTATGAGTTCCCTATAAATTTTGGAGATTAGGCCCTTATCGGATATGACATTGGCAAATATGTTTTCCCACACAGTGGGTTTTCTCGTTGTTTTGTTGATGGTTTCTTTTGCTGTGCAGAAGCTTTTTATTTTGATGTAGTCCCATTTGTTCATTTTCTCTTTCGTTTCAAGTGCCCTAGGAGCTGTATCAGTGAAGAAATTGCTTCGGCATATGTCTGAGATTTTGTTGCCTTTGGATTCTTCTAGAATTTTTATAGTTTCCTGTCGTACATTTAAGTCCTTTATCCATTTTGAGTTTATTTTTGTGTATGGTGTAAGTTGGTGGTCTAGTTTCATTTTCTTGCATATATCTGTCCAATTTTCCCAGCACCATTTATTGAAGAGACTATCTTGGCTCCATTGTATGTTCTTGCCTCCTTTGTCAAATATTAATTGAGCATATTGGTTCGGGCCGATTTCTGGGCTCTCTATTCTATTCCATTGATCTATATGCCTATTCTTGTGCCAGTACCAGGCAGTTTTGAGAACAGTGGCTTTGTAATACATCTTGATATCTGGTATTGAGAT